GTGTGTGTGTGTGTATGTTGTATGTGGGTGTGGTGTGTGGGTGTTGTGTGTGTGGGTGTGTGTGTGGTGTGTGTGTGTGGGGGTGTGTGTGTGGGTGTGTGTGTGTGGTGTGTGTATGTGTGTGTTGTCGTGTGTGTGTGTTGTGTGATGTGTGCTAGGTGTGTTGTGTGTGTGTGTGTGTGTGTGTGTGTGTGTGTGTTGCACGCCTGTGTTTCTATGGTGGGTTAATCTGTCAGATACCAAATGGTGATTAGCTCCAGGGCTGCTTCCAAGTCAGGCGCTCCAAATTACAGGCCTCAGAGGATTCTGGGAGGTCAGGATGACGCTCTGCATGACCAGAGAATTAACAACAACACCACCAGATCCATGGATGGGATGGATCCATCAGATCACACGTTGCTGCAGGATTTCTCCTCAGTACAAAGACAGGCAATAGTGAACAAAAGCAGATGGTTTATATGGGCCAACGAGCAGCACACCTAATAACACCGTGTGTGTTTTTTCCTTTACGGTGGGAGGTCTCAAATACTCGTCTTGGCTTTATTCTCCTCACCGGCTGCCGCACATGCACCCTTCACACATCTCGGACCCATGCATGGTTAGCCCCGGAGCTTCCTGGGTGTAAAGAGAGGGGGCAAAGTGAAGCATGCAGGCAGGGAGACCAGCAGGACCTTTATCTAGAACAGGAATGCAGAAAATGTGGAAACAATTGGGGAGTGAGAGCTGGGGCTTTCAAAACCCCGAGGTGACAAAGGGTTTTTCACCCGGGGAGTGTAGGTCGAGGTGGGAGGTGGTGGGCCGGCTGATAGTGATGGTGTCCTCTGAGAAGAAAGAAAAACGGCCTCTTAACTGGGTTACCATTTCAGGGCAGACAGGCTGGTTACACAACGCAGACGCCCAGAGAGAGAGAGGCTTGTAGAGTGGAGATAGAGCGGGCGGGAGGAGGAGACGCGGGAGATGGATGGATGTATTACACTCTCTTAATGGCATGTTGATAAAAGGCCTTGGATGTGGTCTTAGATGTAAAGAACGTCTCCAGCTCCAGAATGTTCCATTAGAGATGTCAGTCCTCAGCCCAAAGACAAGGCGGTGCTGCTGGCCTGCAGATGCCCCCTGAAGCACTCTAACCACAGGACGGTTGCTTTGGGCTCTGCAACCTGCCTCACGCAAACAAAAAACAATCCAACTTCCACAAGCATGCAGCCAGAATACAGAACAGAGCTGCTACGTTGTGTCTGAATATAATAAAAACAGACAGGGCAAAGCAAATATGTGAATACAGAGATGAAGGTTAAGATGAAGTTAAAAGATAAAGGTAAAAATAAAGTCAGCGTAGCGTACTGTATGCACAGATGATCCGTTTCCCTCTCCCTCTATTTAAACGTGTGTGCCGCAGTACATACTGATGCCGTTGTTAATAGATGTGCAAACGGTATATTAAAGGAACAATTCATTAGCCCTGACATTAAAGTGCTAATCAATAGAACTGCATTAAACTATTAGGGTTACACACACACACATTGACGCACGAACATGCTTGGGCATGCATGCACACACACTCGTCTTGGCACATCTCTGGCCATATTATTCCGATCCTGTTCTGCATCAGAAATACAAAGTAGCCTCTTTCACAGCAGCTTGAATGGGCCCAGGAATTTAATTAGAACAAAGGCTGATTTGACTCAAGTCAAACACATAATCACGCTAACACACACACGTACTGTACACTCACTCATATGCATGCAGACAGTGAAAGGAGCTGCTGTACATCTTTATTAAGTCCTGGTCTTATCTCTTTTGTCAATGGATGTCTCCTTGAAGCCGGCCGAGTTCATTTTGTATGCCAGGTAGCCGGTTATGACCAGCTGTCATGCACTTTGATAAAATATACTGTTATGTATCACAACACCGTCAAACTAATCTGAAAAGACTTCCCTTTGTTCAGCCATTTTTTTACTTTTTTTGTAACTTATTCTTTATTAATTATTTTCTCACATTCCCCTTTACTCCAATTTAGTTGAGCAGTTTCTTTGACAAGGGGTCACAACATGTATAATGTCTCAAATCCCGAAAATTCTAAATGTATTGAAATCAAATAATCAAATAATCAAATAACACTGAGAACGTAAATAACACAGGTATAACACAAATAAAATAAAAGACGGGTTACACTGTATATAAGGTCATCCTAGACATTACAATAATATAGTCCAATATACTGACGAAAAATATCCATATACCAGAACATTTCCTCATTTTAAAGAAGCCATATTATATTATTTTGGGGTGTCACACAGTCCACTTCCTTTTTTTATGCTGCCTTTAGAATCCTTCCATTATTAATTGTTCAGCCATATTTAATGGTTAACTTTACTTTAACTGCATTCACAGACTTCATAAAACAAATTCATATTTTGGATGCTTTGTTTTGCAGCAGTTGACCGTTTTTTTTTTCCTCTCTGACTTGAATTTCTTTTCTTCCCCCCCTCTCTGTGTCCTCCCCACTCAGCAGGCCTGGCCCAGCGGCACCCAGCAGATCCTGCTCCCCCCAGCCTGGCAGCAGCTCACCCACACCTCAGTCCAGCATGCCACTGTCATCCCCGACTCCATGGGCAGCACACAGCCTCTCGCCAACTGGAGGTGAACAGCACTCATTTCACGTATTTTCTTTCTTTCTTTCCACCGCTCCCAGCCAGCCTCTATTGATGTCTGAATATTGTGGCCTACAGTTTCCAAATCCACCTTTCCTCTTGAGATGGATAAATAAATCTAATAGGTTGACATGTATCACTCTAAAGCTTCAAAATGAAAGCACTTTGCCAAATCAAGTTTATACACATAACATCAGGGGCAAGTCTGTAGGTCAGTTCAGATAAATTGATTTCAAAGGCCAGCAGTAGTTTTATGGCTTTTATAGGCCAGGATGTGCTATAGGAAGATGGTATGGCGTAAGACTGATTGACCGAGGAGCCTGTAACTCCCTGACAGCTTGTCCTTTATCTTCTATGAATCACATTCCCCTTTGCGTATACTGGCGCTTTCATAAGAGCAGATTTACCTCAGGGAGACGGGATATGTGTACACGTAGAGACATCATGTCTAGGAGAGCCTGTCACTGCGATGACTCGATAAATGGATGGATAGATGGCGATCTGCCGGGAGATAAGGTGGCTGCAGGTATATAATGTGTATGCAGAGGACAGCTGGGGCCATGTATGCACAGATTCATTTGGGAGCTGTCCATCTGTGACCAGACACCCACCTCCCCGTCTCCCCCCCCCCCTCCTCCCTGTCCAGTGGCAGCTCTGTTGTCCTCAGAGAGACGATCGGGAAAGTGTCGCACTTCCTCTGCAGAGCCATCGCTCCACAGCTGCTGGTGTCAGCTCCTCTGCCCTCCCTCTCTCCCTCACTTCTTCCCTCTCTTCCTTTGAGTCCTCCTTAGAAGAGTTAGATGCTGCCACCCGCTGGCTTCTCTGGGAAATACTCTCTCATGTCTTCATTCATTTTACCTCACCAATGTTGGGTTTGGCTATCCTTTACATACATGAGTGTGTTTTGCAGCATTTCATCCTGTGTTGCTGCACTTGCAGGTCCTACTGTTGTGCTAACATTAAACGGTGTTATGTTACAGGAATCCCCATCCTCATGGCGGCCATTATAATCCCATCATGCAGCAGCCAGCATTGTTGGCCGGCCACGTCACGCTCCCATCCAACCAGACGCTCAATGTGGGAGTGGCACATGTTATGAGGCAGCCCTCAACCAATAACAACTCCTCTTCCAAAAAGAACAAACAGCACCAGATGTCTGCCAGGTACTCTCACACTCTTTATAGTAAATCATCATACACAGATCAGATTATGAGACAATGGGCCTCTGGGCTTAGATAAACTGAAGTACCCTCCACCTTTACTACTGTGCATAAGAGCAGGACACACAGAATTCATACCTGTTTCTTTTTTGGGTCATTTTGTGTCCCTTTCATAATTCTTTGTTTCTTTGCAGTTATGTTATCTTTGTTGTTGCTCTGTGTATCTTTGTAGTCTATTTGTAGTTATTTTGAAACTCTATGTTGTTGCAGTTTGTCTCTTTTAAAGTGATTCAAGTGGCATTGTGTCTTTTTGTAGTCATGTTATGTTTCTTTATTGCTTCCTGGTTGGTACTTGTCTCTTTGAGGATCATTATGTGGGTGGAGGCCCCTGACACTTTGCACACCCTGTGCACTGTACACCCAGCTAGTTAACCATTAACATACAACACAACACAGTGTCTGACACCTTTTGATTTCTTACATTAACACTATTATCCGTCCTTTTGAAGGAACATGTCGGCCTACGAGGTGTCGTCCTCTCAGGCGGTGCTGTCCCCGCAGCGCTCCAAGCGGGTGAAGGAGAACACGCCTCCACGCTGCGCTGTGCTACAGAACGGCTCGGCCTCCAACTGCCCGCCCCCGCAGGGCGGTGGGTGGGGGTCCAACGAAGCGGAGCAGGCTTCCAGCACCACCCGCGACCATCAGCACCAGCACCATGTCCCCAGACAGACCATCATCATCCCCGACACGCCCAGCCCTGCAGTCAGCATCATCACCATCAGCAGCGACACAGATGAGGAAGATGACCACAAACAAAAGAAAAGGTCAGTTCTTGGTCTTTGCTTATTGGAAAATGCTAAGGAGTTTGTATATCATTCGGAATACTAATGCTGGTTACTGTGAAATGCCATTGAGCAGGTTTGTCAGCCAAGAAGTAGATAAACGAGACCTTTTAAAATGTGTCTGCTTTGACTTACTTTGCTTTCACAATTACCAGTGAAACTGAGAAGCCCACGTTCTATCCTCTTTTCTTGTATCGTTTCGGGGGTCATATATGATTTCTAAGGCTGTGTATGATATAAAACATTTTCAATGACACATCTCTGGTTTCTAGTATCAGATCACTGTGCGCCTATAAAAGTAATTTAATCTGGAGTCGTAAAATGCTAACAGGGCCATCCAAGGCCAGTTGTAATTTATGTGGCAGCGGTACTTTGCGAGCAATGGTCAAATCAATTTTATAACCATCCAGTCATCTGACAACAGGAAAGAAGAGATGCGCAAAAGACAACTCCTTTATGCCGTGATACGCTGCAATGAGAAACACAAAATAAGAACGCAAAGAGAGGGAAGTACAAGAAAACCAGCTAGCAATAGGGAGATACAAAACAAGTTTTGACACAAATTGTGTAGTTCAGGGTATGTACACAGCACACAGTATGCAGAGGGGATGTCAAATCTGATCAGGACATATGATATCATCATATTGATGTCCCTTGAGTTTATCTGATTCCCTGAAAGAAATGTCTTAATAACTTTCCACTTGTGTTTCCTCCAGTTCATCTACAAAGCAGCGAAAGAATGTCATCAGTTGCGTGACGGTCCACGATTCACCCGACTCTGACTGTTCCAGCAACAGCCCGTACACTGTGGAGTCCAGACACCCCAACAACAACAGCTACGACACAAAGAGCACCATCCTGGACAACTACAACAACGGGAACCCCCGCACCATCATCATTCCTCCTCTCAAGACGCAGAACAGCGAGGTCCCCAATGAGTGTGAGCGCCTGATGCCAGGTAGAGGACTGTGACAACAGGTTCCTTCCTGGCCTAAAATACAGCTTAATACATTACATTATTACATTGTTACTTCTTCCCAAATAACCATATCCTCTCCCTTGCAGATTTAATGAACCATCAGAATACAGCTTATAAATTCAAATCCTCCAATGGAGTGCTGTCTGGCAATCATCACCTACCAGGGGGCATACCAGGGGGCGTGGCCTATCGGCAGCAACGCTCAGGGCCACACCCCCTCCAGCAGCAGCCTCTCAATCTCAGTCAGGTATGGTCATATCAGTGTCTGCATTTTGATACGTGTGGACAAAACCTTAAATATTTTAGGATCATGTTTTAGAAGAATAACATTTATTGTTTATATATGTAGCTTACTGATTTCATGTTCTGTTAGATGAAAAGAACGATACCAACCTCATGTCTGTACGTTAGGCTACCAAAAGATAGCTTAGCTTAGCATTAAGACTGGAAACTGGCTAGCCTGGATAACAAAAAAGATAACAAAAAAAATAGATGAAATTGATAATTGATCAAAATGTAAAATATTCCTTGAGGTTCATAAGTCATTTGTGACATTATCCAATAGATGTTTTGAAGTGTTTTAAGGCAAAGTTTGGATGTTATGATGAGGGGTTCTCTTTTACTCCAAACAGGTGGTGTACCTCATACAACCTCTCTTCAACACATTCCAACTATCCTAACCTATTATGCAAAATCCACTTTTTCATGTATTTTATACATAACCATGTGTCCTCTCTGTGTAAAAAGATTCTGAAAGTTTCAGAAAAAAAGATTATCTCTCTTTTTGTCCTGATCCTTTTATATAAAAAAACTGTCTGAAAATGAGCTGATCAGATGTTGGCCACTTTATGATTTCATAACGATTTGTTGGCTTGTGTAACCATTGGCCAATCACCAACCAAGGTAACCCCCGCTCACCTTATCACCTGAATCTCCTCCTAGAGCACCATTGTGTTGTTTTGTAACCAAATATCTCTCAGAGGGGCGTGGGGAGTGGCTCCTTGTTTTCATCTAAAGTAACAGACTTTTGAAACAAGGCTGAAACAGAGGGGATTATGGGATGATGCTACAATGCATGATCTGTTTGGTATTTTGAGCCAAACACTTCGGAGACATGTTTTGTATATATCTGAGACCTATTATATATTGATGAAAAACAGTATAATAGAGGACCTTTAAGAAATCACATTTGGACAATGAGAATAACCAAAACTCCAGGAGCAATAAAACTGACATTCAGCCTTTCTGTCCCCCCACTTCCAGGCGCAGCAGCATATGGTAGCCGAGCGAAACGGCCATCGGCGGCAGCAGGCCTACATCACCCCCACCATCGCCACCCAGGCCCAGTACTTCCATCACAACAGCCCCTCCCACACGGCCAATGTCCACCCGCACCTGGCTGCCACCCACCTGCCTAACCAGCCCCACCTCTATGCCTACACCACCCCCGCCACTCTGGGCTCCACCGGCACCGTGGCCCACCTGGTGGCGTCGCAGGGCTCGGTGCGCCACGCGGTCCAGCACGGAAGCTACCCCCCCAGCATCATCCACCAGGTCCCGGTCAGCATGGGCCACCGGGTGCTGCCCTCCCCCACCCTGCACCACAGCCAGTACCAGGCCCAGTTCGCCCACCAGGCCTACATCAGCGCTTCACCCGCCTCCACTGTCTACACTGGATACCCACTGAGTCCCACCAAGGTCAACCAGTACCCTTACCTCTAGAGAACACACTGACCAACACTGGAGAGCCTGACCCAGCACTGCTGCTGCTGCTGCCCCCCCCCGAAACCCACCCGCCCTGAGCCCCATCCTCTCCTCGACCTTAGACATAAAACAGAGACAGAGGAACATGCAATCCTCATCAAACTGTCACGTATAACTTGAAGATATAACAACAGAGAGAAAAATATTCACAGCCTCTCTAGAAGGGAAAGATGGGGATGAATTTCAGAGGGGTACAGTTCAAGTTATTTTCTTTCATTCATCAATTTTTGTTCTCCTGAAAGGGCCAGTTTTTGCATTTATTTTTCAATTATTCACTTTTTACTTTACTAGTAATGTTTCTTTAGTTTTACAGGGAATTTAGAAACAGGCCTTTTGGGACAGTGGAGGTTTTCTGTTTTTTTATTATTTCCCCCCCTCATTGATTCGGGGAGTGACTGTTGAACAGGGGTTACTGACTGGAAGTTCGGAATCCCAAGAAAAATTGGGAGAAGGTGAAATACGGAAACCTGCTGCTCTACAAAGAAAAAAATATTGATGGCCTTGAACTGTCTTAATATTTCCATGGTGTGGGGAGAAAAGAGAGGCAACTCCCCCCCCCCCCACCACTCCACCTTCTCCAGCCGAGGAGGTTTCTGGAAATATAACCAACAGAAGACAACAAACTTTTTAGTGTATTTATAGATATTTCTTTCCTTTATGTTTCACCTTTATGACGATACTTCGTTTTTTTTTGCTAGGTGTCTTAGCTGGGCCCCGTTCTTAGAATGTAGCAGTCTGCACCAGTTGACTTTTTTTTCCAGATACCAATAGATTTATTTGTTCCTCTTTTTTCAATGTGATTGCACAAAGTGGTTATAATAACATAGGCATGTACAACGTGATTGTCTGTGTGTGCTACTGTCAGCCATGCGTGTATAAATCCACCTCCTTAAAACTCTCTTCAGTCTTTAGGTTTTTGACCATTGTTCCTTCGTAGTGCCTTACAGATATACCGACACAGTTTACTTGGCTTGGATCCTGAAAGCCACAAGAGACTCTAGCTATACTTAGAACGACATGTTTCCCTGGTTTGACATGCTAGTCGGGACAGTTGTAGCTCTCTTCCAGGTGTAGGCTTAGCCCTTGCTGTTTCTCGTCCTAAAATGACAACATACTGTTAGATGATGAAGATTAACGTCAGATATCACGCTGACTTTTTTATTATGTGTGCATGAGATAACTTGCCCGGGGTACTTACCAAAGTCATAGATAAATTCTTGTTACATTGTGCTCTGGATATTAGTGTAAATATGAAAATGTACAGTATAGCTGTAGATGTAAACCTCTATCACCCAAAATGTGGCTCTAGTTTGGAATATATTTGTTGTTTTTTAAGGGAATTCATGCAGCGAGAGTTATTAGCTCAGTTTTCAAGAACAGGGATTGAGTTACAGTAAAATGTTTGAGACACAGTAGAGGTTGCTTTTTTTAAGGATAAAAGCTAGTCCAAGAGAAGGGCCTGACAGGAAGTGATTGTTGCCATGAGGGGGGGTTCTGTGAGGCGGAAGGAATGGGTCTGCAGAGAAGAGGCAGTGTATCGAGGGTTGTTCGTGAGAGATACTGTGTAGGCACGAGTGAGGCGGCTGTTTGAAAGCATAGGGTCAGTTTAGGTAGGGACTGTGGAGGGCAGGGCGAAACTCTCTATCTTAAATGGGACTAAAATGGTAGCAAGTTGGCACTGAGCAGGTTGATAGAAACACTGAGTCCGGGTCGTCGGTAGGAGCCCAAAAGGGAGGGCACTACTTTACCTGAATGTACACTTTCTGACGTGAATCCTTCAAAGATAATTGGAAGTTATTTGTCACGCTTGAGGTTTGGGTAGCATCTAAAAAAAAATGCAGGAACAGAACAGAAGGGAAATGCCACAGCATACACCTGGAAGGGCACCTTGTGGACGATTTTGTCGCCACTGTCCATTTGTCTTCGAACCAGGTACACCGCAGACATCACCACGCCAGCCGAACACTTAGAGAACCAATAGGGCTTTGTATGTTCGCTGCTTCATTTCATTTTGTTCCCCCATGTAGCCAATGATACAAAAATCTCCTTGTTCATTTGTCCTCGTATAGGCACATCAGTGCCGCTGGTGGGTTAGTGAAAGCCTTCCCCTCCCCCTTCCTCCATGGTATGCCATAGTACTTGCATTTGAAGTGATTATTCTTTTGTTGTTGTTGTTTTTTAACTTAACATTATCTTGAACTTTTTTTTGACATGGCTGTAGTACATGTTGTGTTTATTTTTTAGAGATTGTTGCAATAATTCTTGTGGATGTTTTATCAAGAGTGTGTGCGTTTTTATTATATGTAATTTCTATTTTGTAACCTGGGGGTTGATGTACAGTGAAATGTAGTATTAAGTGGAGGTGGGTGCACCTGTGTTAAAGTGTTGCAACACTGCTAGTGATAGTAAGTGTGGAGTTGATGATAATCCAATGGGGCCCTTATACTGTAGATAGATTGCCATATTACCACAACTAGTTTCGAAATACTTAAATCTCTTTAAAACAAATCTTTTGACGGGCCCCAGAGTGTCATCCTGGTACTTTTTACCCCCACACTCCCCTTCACTTCCGAGTTGTCAAAGATGTGATTTAAGTACGTTGCTGGTTACTTCATTATTTTCTGTTCTGTTGTTTTTCTTTTGATTTGATCTACTTTATTTCCTCAAGCTCAAGCACACACGCATAAGGGAGATGATTTTCCATTGATATATTTTCTGTTATTATGAAACAGACTACTGAAACATTCCACGTTTGAGGGAATTTGGCGTTACTCATGCTACACTGCTGTGTCCGGTCCCCTCTCCTGTCAGCAGGGGGATAGCATTGTCACCCTAGGACTTTGTTTTTTTATTTTTCGCACTTCCCACCAAAGAATTCGACAGATCGATCATGTGCAGCACACAGTAGAGTACAAGCAATCCTCCACAGCGTTGCTAGAGCAGACAGGCAATAACTCCTGGTCTAATTTTTTTTACAAATGATTTGGACAACATGTCGTTTTACCCCCAACAGGAGGATTTAACATAATTAATACAGCCCAGTGAATTTCTTTACAATCTACCTTCATTTCTCCTCGCACTTGGCCCTGTTAATAATTATCTAACCTCCAAAATGTTAAGCCAGTTTTGGTTCTTTTGCATTGTCGATGTTGTAGCTTTATTGGTGTTGTATGAAAATGAATTTGTAATCTAAAAGGTTTGTTTTTAAATTAGCGTGCCATGGAATAGAATGACCTGTAAAAAAAAAAATGAATTAATCAAAAATGTACCAACTATACCTTTAAAACCATGGTCACCCGCACAAAATGAATGTAATATGTGACCTGCGGCATCTGAAATGGCTTTAGATCTTTCTCAGTGGGTGGCCATTCATTTCATTTCTACACCGTTTGTGGCCATGCATGATGCAATAATTATACATCCAGCAAAATCCCATGTGAGAGAAATAATGTAAAATTATTTACATTATAATCCCCCCCCCCCCCATTATTGGGGGGGATATCAAATAATCGCTATTTTCTCAAATGAAACCCAATTTAAAGGAGCCCTATATGCGCGACGTTGTGGAAAAATGACTTGATGTGTATGATACGTTTGTCTATTACTCTGTTTCACATAACCAATGTTTCGTGTTTTATAAAAAAGGGGAATCAGAAATGTGAGCTATAACTTAGATCGAGTGACCTTACAATTACCAAAATGTGCTTAAGTAGAGTGTAAAAAAAGTGTTTTGTGTTGTTGAGGTGAACATAGCCTTCCCAGCTAGCGACTTTACTGTTAGAGTACTGCCTTCCAAATAACCAACAATACCTCCAAAGGTGACAATACAATTAGAAACAAGGCAGTGTCTCACTCTGGATGAAGCCTGGCATTCTCTGACAAAATACACTCAAACTTCCAGCTTTGCTCCCGGTGAAACATTCCTGAGAGCATGATGGCTCACAGTGCTACAATAGTCTTCACACAAACTCCTCTAAGGTGACAAGAAGTGAACACACAACGCTCTCGTTTAATATAAACCGTTGGCATAGTTGCAGCTGCCTCCCAAAGTGCAAAGTGGTGAGGATCAGGGGGATTAACCATGATCTGATGTTCTCTCTGTCTCCCAAATTCATAATCTAGCCCCACAAGCATTCTCAAAGCCCATTCGGATGATAGCGTATGTTTTTTTTAATTATTATTTGAGGAGATCTGCTCCTTTTGCTGGCTATTCCTTTGGGGGAATTCAGGGTGAGGTGGTCAAGGTTTGATGCCATCACTGATAGAGGGAGTCAGGCGATTACACTGTAAGAATTTAAGAACCAAATCTGATTAAAATGCGATTATTTTCCTACTCTAATTTGTGTAAAGCCCCACTTTAAATCCTCTTTAAGTGCTGCCCTTTAAGATCTTTGGTATTTCTTTTAATAACTGAAATATGTAGCTTTTCACATATGACTTTAAGAGGGATTTCTAGCTGAAGATATTTATTTTGTGGTGTTAATAAATGGGATCTAGAAGCAGTAGACCAAAGCTACATTCAAATCCAGATTTGCCTGTTTACACTATACAAATATTATTCTGAAGCTAGCCTAGCTTTTCAAAGTCACAATCCCTTTTGATACATTCTTAAAACAATAAATTAGATAAGTTACATTTCTCATACACTGGTTATTTCCATTTTCTAAAGACCTAAGAGTGCATCAAACCCTGACCCCCTTTGTGTCCATTGCTGTATGGTTTCTCAATTGTGTAAAATTTCATTATTTGTCGATAAAGCTAATGTGTGCTGCAGTATTTCCTAGTATACTTCTCTGTTAATTGTCTTTGCTTATTTTTTTTTGTTTATTGGGGTGTGATATCTGATTATTTCAATCTGTTGATGTAGCGTTCTATGTATACCCTGTTCCTTAGCCTAATATTATTAAGTATGTTATGAGAATGGATATTTTACTGGCTTTATAGAATGTTTAAATAAATATAACAATGACAATAAGAAGAAGGATTAATTAAACCTCCTAACAAGTTGAGTACTTGCTACTAAGCGCTTGTGTTACCATTATGATGTTGTGTGCTTCTCTTAATCATTTTCGTTGTAGAAAAATGGAGTGAATTTATATTAGGCTTCGAAAAAACTAATGATAGCATTGTACATTTTACGGGAGGATTTTAACAGACAAACCGCTTCGTCAAATAGAAGAATATAGTTATTTTAATTGTCCTCTTTACTAACTGTAGGGTGAGAAGGGGCTCGCGTTGTGGTGAACTATGTTATAGCTTGTTATTCACTGTTACTTTTGATCATTTTTTCGGTCTCCGAGGTGAATCGAGTTATTAATGAGAATTTGTATACTCACATATGCATATTGTATATGTGTAGAAATGTAATCACACTTTGTCTTGGATTTACATTAAACTGTTAAGTCACGGCACCAGTCTCCTGATTTAACTGTGATCCTGTGTGTGTGTGTGTGTGTGTGTGTGTGTGTGTGTGTGTGTGTGTGTGTGTGTGACATTCAAATCAGTAAAATAGGATGATTATCACAACTAAATAAAATATAATACTACTTAATATTATGTAGCCTTGATGATACAGACATATCGCCATTGTGAGTGCTGTATCATACCCTCCTGGGACCCAGCCCATTGACTTATGTCCACATTTTGTTAACATGCATCTCCTTTTACTCTTTTGAGGTACTCTATCAATCTATGTACTGTACAGAGGACATCCTGGGCTTTCCAGTGATATGTCATTGGTTAAAATGTTATGCTGGGAAGTTCCTCTTTCTTTTCATCCAAAATGGCTGGCATACCAAAAACAACATTTTATAGAAGCAGGAGGAGAAGTCAAATATTGTTTAATAATAGTTATTTTTAACATGAAAATCAATATGTTCTTGTATATTAACATGTGAGGAACTATATAATTAGTTCTGAAAGCAATTCAATAATTCAAGTTTTGAAATAACAGCCCTTTTATAAATGGACCATCTTCATGGACTTAATGACTCAATATTGTTGCAGGAGACGGAACTGAAGCAGACATTTTCTGTACCAGAAAGTTCAGGGAGATTCCGATTTGGAGCTCTCAGATGATGAGAGAGATGAGGCTTTCACACCTGGGATAGAAGAGGGTCAAGAAGAAGGAGGAAAAGATGCAGGAGGCTCCATGAGCGCACAGATACAGACATAGGGACGAGCGGGAAAGACATGTCCCTCTGTGGGCCAAGAGTAGCACGCATGTCTTATTGTTGTTTTTATTTTAAGTGGAGCCATGAAAAATGAGAATTGCCTCAGGAATGCCAAGTGTGTTTCTATGAGTACGGTCAAGTGGAGACCACATCCATAAAACTAGTCAAGATGACCGTACAGCCCGTGCCGACTGGAGTCAATGAGGTACTTTCCCAGTACATTGACTACAGGTCTTTGAAGATCTGGAAAGATTCAACAAAAAACAAACTAGTTTTTTATTGACCAAATAAACAGCAATGTTCAGATCAATTACTTATGTTTTAAATAAAGGTGAATGTATTCTTGTATTAATATCACTCTATAACCATAATACGTTACATAGTCTATCTGTTAATTTTGGCTGTCTTTTCAAACAAAAATGGTCCTGACGTCCTCTAAAGTGGACATACTGTAACGTTTAAAAATCAAATTAAATAAAAAAGATTTTAATTGCAAGATGTTTTTTAACCCGAAATAGGTAGGAAATAAAGAAGATTGGAGAAAAAAAACAAAAACAGTAAGACGTGCATTGAAAATAATTACAACATTTAGCTTGAGTTTATCATACCGTGTGTTGTGTAAAACCTGAATCTGGAAAGTAATTGTAAGCACAGCTAGCAAAATGAATATAGTGAGGCAAAAAAAGGCAATGCGATATCTGCCTTTGGAATACATAGGAGGTGGAAAAAGAAACATGAATTTATAACTCTCAAGTGAAGTATAAGTACCTCCAAATGTAGCCTAAATACAGTGGTTGGATAACTTTAGCTACTTCGTTCACTTCCTACAACAGACTGAATCCATTGAAGCTCTTGTTCATATACAATTACCAGGTCATGTTTTGAAAAAGAAATTATAGGACATTTTCTTTGATATTAGCTAAATGTTCACAAAGGGATAGCATGATGTCATAGAAAGCCAAACTGATCAGAAGAAACTGTTTATAGATTCAACCACTAGGTGGCGGTGTGCACCAACATGTTGACGTCTATAAACTGGCAGTGACGTGATAAGGTTATGCTGATTATCTCCATGTATTTTTCACCAAAAACCCTTGTTAAACCAGGGGATGTATCCTGCGCATATATTACGCGGTGTGAACTGTTTGGAATTTGGGAACGTAACTTTCTTTCTGGAGTCATGCATACAAATAAAAACAAAGTGTGCATCTTCTTTGTTTCTGGTCAGATAGACTTGTGAACAACACTGCACTTAAAAGGCTCATAAATGTTGACGGAATTGTAAATCAGCATGCACATCAGTGCAACACCAAGTATGCTACACCAACAATTAATCATTGAAGAAACATTAGTCATGCTATCTTTGTTTACTGCATAACTTGGTTAACTTTATTCAGCCAATAATAACAAAAAAAGTCTGGATAGATACATCCACCCATGGCTATACCATGTTTAGTGCATCATCGCATGAGGCAACGTTGCCTTGGAAGCCGCCGATGCCAGTAGAGAAGACCTACCTAATTTTTAAACCCCACTTTGACAGAAATGAGCTGCAGCCAATGAGAGCCGGGTTTGATAAATGATAAGCTAATCAGATCAGCCAGGGGGCGGGACTAACCCGATCCTCGGGACGAGAGAAGGTAACTAAAAGAGTGTCAGATATGAGCCAGCCAACAGCTCTGGCACGTCTACTCTGAAATAACTTCAAACGCAGGCAGGTGGTTTCATGAAGGTTAATGACGGAGCCTTTCACAATATTTTGTTTCGTGCAGGAATATTTCTCGGAACCCAGACAAAGGAATTGATAGAGTTGGAGCCCCTTTTTTTTGGTAAGTCTGAATGCGCAGCTGACAGGAATGGCTGAGGGAAAAGGGAACAAAATCGTGTTATCTTTGCACTCAAAGCTAGCTTTTGGGAATAGGGCTAAAGTATGTTAGCTAACCTGGTTGTAGCATCATGCTGTGACAGTCAAATGAAAGATGTATCATGCTTTGTCTAGCCTTACGGAAAGCCACATGACCGTAAACTTGCGAGTAACGGGACGGGATGTAGGACAAGAGACTGTACTGTGTCATGATGAGACCGACTCAAGCTAGCCAGACAGCCGGGATGAAGTCTGTGTGCAGCCGCCTTATCCACACAGATATCCGCCTATGTAGAGTTAGTTAGGTTATTTAGTACATCTTATAAAAAGATAATAATTCCTAATTTGTGTTAGTTTGACCTATGCTAATAACGTTACCTCAGTATGACCTGTTTGGCCATGTGCATGAAATGTGTCAGGTTGACTTAACAATATGAAAACAAACCCTCATTTAAAAAAACATGTTTTTATAAATACTAGAATGTGTAGCCCTTTATGTTTGTTTAAAGGATTTATATAATTTTGAAGTCCATGACAAAAAAAGGTTTTAGAATAGGAATTAAGAACACTTTTAGCTTTATTGTTTGTAAAAGGCCACGTGCATTAAGATTTATTTTGGTAATTACCTCAAATAAAATAAAAAATAGAAACGTAGCATTTCCTGAACAATTATGTATTTGTCCAAATATAATTCTTGTATTCTAACTAACACCTCTGCCCCTGATATGATATATTGCCAACATTATTTGCTATGAGAATGTTACTTTAATCAAATTCAGGTTTTGAATTCAATAAACATCTTCATTGTTTGGTTAACTTAAGTTCAGCAGCAGTTTCTTCCAACTAAAAGCTGATTAAATAAGTTATTATTAAGTAATAACAGAAAATGTTGCTCCTTTGTTTTCAACAGCCATTTTTCATTGCAGCATATGTTATGGAAGGAGGAGCCTTGAACTGAAGGAGACCAAACCAGGCAGCTGGATTTAACACAAACCTTGGAGTGAATCTTGTCTTCTCACCTTGTTGAAATGCCTTGACCGTGCCCCTGCCGTACCATGGCAGGTTTAGTCTCCTCTGTGGGTTTGGTGGTGATGCTCAAGGCTCTCATGCATGCCCATGGCCAGCGTGCAGTGTTCCTAGGGATGATGGTGTTGGTAACAGTAATCACAGCTGACTCACCTGTTGCAGGTAAGAGAACACCTTTTGCTGACTCACACAACACGATCCACTCATTTGTACCTTGTGTGTGTCATTCAACAATCAGTTAGCTCTGAAGCATTGACTAGTTCCCCAAGTTCAGTTCAAATTTCACTTGTAAGGTGATGAATGCAAATGAAAAATAACTAGTGAATAAAAGTGAATATGGTATCTGTGGAACAACAAGGGCCACATATAGTACCGCGCAACCAAATATGTGTATATAACTAAAATAGCTTCATGTATTGCACTAGAAACTATTGTTAAAGTAGGCCTTTTATGCTATTTGGGGTTTTCTCTTTCCTATGGTGTGTGTTTTTGTGCATGTAAATGGTCTGCAAAGGCTCCAATCCAAAGTTCTCTCCCACAAACTCCTGACCTTGGACTCCTTTGTTTACTTCAGTAACATAGTGACGGCACTATGTAACACTTATTGACTTATTGGCTAGCGCTCCAACACATTGTATGTGATAGGCTAAGGGGCGGGACATCCTTAACAGTTGATCAATCACAAAAAAGCCGGCCAGCTAACCAATCAGAGCCGACTGGGTTTCAGACAGAGGGTGAAAAGAGGTGCGCAGTATGAGAAAAATAAAGCATGTTGAACATTAAAGCATGTAAACATGTCACAAAATACAACTATGAACCGGGAATTAGCATAATAGGACCCCTTTAACCAGTTGTGTGTTTGTGGTGGATTATTTTAATGGCATCCAGGATCCAAGGCAAGCGTTATAAAGATCTTAAATCAGAAGTTTAAAGCCAACTGTTGTTTCTTAACACCAGTGTGCAGGGCGGCAAGAGCATCACCTAAACATTTTACTTTCCTATATGTATCTTTCTTCAACCTTTATTTAACTAGGGTAGGTTTCCTTAGGGTGAATGCTTATCTTCAGCAATATTTGACATCTAGGAGAAGCTTAGTAAAAACCATAGTCTTGTTTGTCGGCTTCACTGGAGCAGTTGGGTTTATAGTGGCCTTGTACAAGGCCAACTCTACCAGTGACCTTCCAGTAATGAGATCACTATCTTAACCTTTAAACTCTTTCAAACTCTTTTACTTAAAGGTCCCATGTCATGCTTTTCTGGTTATTACCCGTCCCCTTGTGTGTTATGCAGCTTTTTCTGCATGTAAACGGTCTGCAGAGTCACAAACCCTCAAAGTACACCCTGTAGCGAGTAAAACTCTAACACAGAAAATACCTGTCTATGCTGCCCCAGAACGCCTCGTTGGAGATTTCTCTTTTTCCATTGTTGACTTCTTGGGTATAGTGACGTATTTCGGGTATAGTGACGTAACGTCCCCGGAGCCGTTACGTTTGGACCAATCCGCGGACTTCCTCACACACACACACACGGCGGGACGTTGCGAGGCTTGCTGCTGCGAGGAGCAGGACACTGTGAGCTGGCTCACTGGTGTGGGCTTGGCGAGAGACACAGCGGAACTCAGTCTGGGCACACACACAAACTCCCAGCCAGGCTGCGGCTGTGTGTGTGTTTCGCGCTGGGTTTCGCTGTGTCTCGCTGTCTCGCAGACGGGCACTGGGCTCACAGGGAGGGGGGGCTGGAGCTCCAACAAGCCGTTTAGGACAGAGAGTGGATACACATACTATACAGAGATGCTGTATGAGAAACCAATGTGAGTTTGGAAAATTGCACAATATACATTTATTTTAGTAAACCTCAACAATGGAATTATGATCAGTAGAAATGGCCATAACATGGGACCTTTAAAGCACGTCTCTCTCTAAGAAGAAATACCATACAGCCCTGAAAATGCAGCCGTTGGTTTTGCTATTGCTTTAGTAGTGTACCGAAAAGCAATGTCTATGTTTTGAAGTTTACATCCGCATAAACTGACTTTATTTTCATTCAATAAAGTCAGGGCTACAGCATGACCTCGGAAAGTTGAAGAGACATTCATGTTTGATTCTGGATTTTCACAACATGTTAAGTTGCTCTATCCCTACAGAACACAGACTGTAACTGAGTTAAACCCATTTTCAGTAATTAGGGAAAGAGAAAGGGTCTAATCCATCCACTTGGTGGGTGTTTTCCCCTGGCTGACTTTTATAGATAGTGACATGATCCCACCAACACCCCTCCCCCGACACATTGCGCAGTGAAAAGAAAACGTTTTAAGAGAAGCCAAAATCTCTTGATATCGTGTTGTAATAGGATTATGTAGTAAATGCTGGGGTGAAAGCCTTGTGCAGGAAACCAGGAATAAGTCAATCTTAAAACTCTCCCTCCATTCACAACTTTTTGAATGGAATGACCACCAACATTTCTTCAGTTTAATGCATTAAAGGTGGGGTAGCTAATTTTGGAGAAACCAGCTCGAGTGCGCTAGAATTTGAAAATACACAGCCGGAACAAATCTGCCACTTCCTTACAGAGCCCCTCCTCCAACACACACGAACGCGCACATGACCAATGAGGGCACGAGATAAGTTTGTGCACAGATGGAAAGCTGACAGGCAGGTAGGCCATCCAGTTATTTTAGCCGGGCCGGCTAATATGATTGGTCGTGCTTTTTACAGTACTACGGCTTCCACAGATGACATTTTTTTAATGGATTTTTTGTCAAAGCACTTCAGATATTCATTGCTATCGGGATGTTAAGAGCATTCCATGGAAAAAGTGTATCTCGAGCCGGTTTCTCAAACTTACAGGCGGTTTTGGCAGATCAAGGGGCGTTGGTGAACTCCAGTTCGTGTCCTTGGGCAAGACACTCTACCCGCATTTGTGTGTGTAATATGTCATTGTAAAGCGCTTTGAGCACCTGTAAAAGCTCTCTAATTAAAAATGTAATCCATTATTATTATTATTACCTACCCCACCTTTAATGAGGACCGTGTAAGACAACCCCTAGACATGTTTTGCTCTGAGGAAATTAACATAATTTTTTCATTATTTCCATGTTTCGTCTTGACAGTATAACACACTGTCAAGACGAAACTTGGAAATAATTAAAAATGTGGTGACGGTTGTACAATAAAGCTTGAACAAGATATTTTTTCATATCCCAAACATAAGAAAAAAATGCCTGGTGTCACATACCATATACTTTGTAAATGATCTTATTTTTTACCTAACAACTTATCCAGTTCATAGAATGGGGGAAAGAATAAAGTTAAAACACATGTTGCTGCCCTTAATGATCTGCATTTACGTAGGAGTACTTCAAATCAAAGTGTCCTCATCTCTTATGGAAAGTATATCTTCTGGCAAAGCAGAGGCGTGTTTTATTTATATTTCTTTGTGGTTTGGATGATCGCTCTAGATGCAACACTTTGAGGAGCTTGTCATAGACAGTTTCTCTGTGGCCGACTGCAAACCACCGCATCACAAGAGCGAACATTTATCAGCCATGGATTGTACAGTTTTAAGAGAGCTGCACGCTGTTCTCAATTAGCCTGTTTTAAGCTCTCTAAATGATTGCTGCTTACTGGGAACATGAAGGGATCAAAAAATAGAACACTATAATATGAGTCCGATGTTTGTAAAGTTTCACCTGTTTCAAATGAAGGCTGTTAATGTGTAAAACGATAGCATGAATCTCTACAGTATATTTAAATACAGTACGAACAGAACATGTCCTAGTACCGTTAGCATAACAGACCTCAATACTACACCTTACTGTTGATTGTTTAACTCTTTTTCTCTGTATCGTCCACTTCTGCATCTTTTTACACATCCATCAAATGTAAACAAATGTGTTCTCATGCTTATTTCGCATTAAATGAAAATGAAATCGAATTTTATTTGGTATTCCGCAAAGATAAGTGGTTCACTGGCAAGAATTTGGCACTGTTTTTCTGACTGTTGAATCAGTATCATATACACAGATCTAAGTTAATTAAGCTGTTTCATTTGGGACATGATTGCTCCTTAAAACCTAGATGTAACTGCATCACTCATATATCATAGCTAAGGATCTTATAAGAACCTATAAAACCCTCGACATTTTTGTAAAAGTCTTCCCCCAGAATGCCTTAGAAGTAAGTTATATTGTATGACAGGAGGTGCTCATTATCTTCACCAATTGCTTTACGGCTCACTTTAATTCATGCACTGGATGACAGATAACTGAGTATCCATGGTTGTATTCAGCAGTGAAAGCACCAGTCACACAGCTTTCTTCTCACAGACTCTGAAAAGCAATCTTTATAGTTTCTAGGTCAAATAGAGCGTGGCGACCTCCGTATAATTGTTCCTCCAGATCCGACATCATACAGTAATTTCCCTCTTTTTTATATTTCCCTGCTTCTCTGCTCAACTTTCAGTTAAAGAAATAGTTCCACATCTACACCCTAGATCTTAAACCTGAGATCATAACAAATGTATAGCTTATAATTGTAAGCTTTATATGTGAAAACGCCAATGCAATTTGGCTCCATCTGCACTGCAGTAGCTGGCGAGTTGAACCCAGCAGAGTCCTGGCTGATCACCAGTGCAGTCAGTCGCCATGTGAAATGTGATCCGTGTGGGATGACAATATGGCCATTCATTATTCATTAGAGCTGGGAGCCAGTTGCAGATCAATGGGTAGAAGCTATCAAAAGTCAAACAGTGGCTCTCTCCAGGCCTGCAGCTTGACCAGAAATATATTTTGGAAAAGAGCCCATGGCTGACCCCGTCTCTTTACCCACTGACCTCTCCAGAGTGATCTGGCAGTGTGGACGCTGCTCTGCTGGACAAGGACTGGTTTGTGATATCAAGCAGACATTTTAAAATCAACTCTTTTATGTGACCAACTTTGTATTAAATCGTTATGCCTTCTTCACAATATACAGATACAAATTATATAAATAAAAATAAGGAAAATCCTTGCAATTGCATTGTTGGCAATAAGTCCTCTCCTGATCAACTTTGCATACACAAAGTGTTCATATATCTGCCTTTACAAGAAGGTCATAACCAAATGAGCAATTCTTTTAAAAGCCGTTAATGTTTCTCCATAGCTTACAGATGCGATTGACAGTTCT